AATGCATGAAAATCCTAACCTCAAAAAAATCACCCGTTACATATAATCTGATTTTTCCGCCCAATTCTGAGAGCTTTCGATAACTCCACTATGCCTGTATTGCCTCGGACACTAAAAGCCTTACTCTTTGAATCAGATTGCAGAGTTCACTGGAATTTCGCGCTTGTGGAATTGTATGGGCAGTTGATACAGAATAACATTAGGCAATTCAGTAGGACACGCCTTGTTTGCTTCTTAATTTCTTGAAGTTGATTTGCGTGTCCTATGCTGGCCACCATCCTGTCGCTACGTTAGAGCTTTGAAGACAGATTGGCCGACTTAAATCTTTGTTTTGGCATATTGCCTATTTAACAAGACGTGGGCGGTCTAAAGTATAGCAGCTGGTTCCGCCTGCAATATAATTTCGTCCTACTTAAGGGAAAATAAGTCTGGAATCGTGGTCCCACAACACCCTCACCAACACCTTAAGATGTTTTTGAACCATCGCTATACCTTGTTTGTCAATCATCGGGCAACCACTTGGAGTTCTGCTCCGTTCTTCACGAGTGGGAATATGATCTTTTACCTCTACGTAATGCTGTGAATGGGAACAATTTGGTATGAGAACAGGATTTTGGCCATAGTGATCTCATTTGCCTTTAAGATTTCAAGATGTCTGACAAGGTTTCCTTGTTTGGATGTATTGTTGCTTCCTCTTATATTGCCATATGAAGGTGTGTGAGATTGCGTAGGGCTTTTATATCTGCAGTGGGTGTGTTTTCATTACCCCTCTCCCCATCTAGGCATGCAAGTCGTTGGACTTTTCACAGTTTTTAATGGCTACTGTTTGAGTGGTCTTCCTCCACCATACGAGTGCTCGTTTCACTCTTAGGGGTTGATCATCTGAGTATACACACAGAACGTCATTTTAGGATTTAGCTTTTCGAATAAGCAAATTGATGTTAATGCAGAGGATAATGAGAGAGTATCCTCACATAGGTCAGAATAACTCTTTTCCTCTAGCCACTCAACTACAATTCCCAATAGTTATTGAAACCATATAAAACTTTTGTTTTAGGTTTCTGTGTAAGCAAGATGTGAAAAATCTTCTCCACTCCTTTTGCCTATCATAGTTTGTTCAATTTATTTTCTCGTCTCTGATCTGTAGGCAGCTTTGTAGGTCGATGAATCCTTTCATGCTGGAAACTTTTTGCCAACTAATATATTTCGGAACGTAGCGAAAGAGGAGTTTTTGTCTTGTGGGCTTTATCTTCCAACAGTCTGTCCAAAATAAGTCCCTAGCAATTTTTGGTCTTGTTCCGCTTCTTTGGTGGCTTGAACGCAAATGGTCGAGATATTAAGGAATCCGGATGTATGCTTTAGCGCGACAATCGCTAACCGCAGTAAATGAGAATACTTGGCGACGCAGTCTCTCTCCAACCACAAATCCGACACCAAACTTTACATGGCAGGTGTAGTAGTCTCAGCAAGGTCCTTTGGTCTGCTTACTGTGCTCTATTTATCCCATCTCTTGATTGGCGGTGATGTCTGCCTTTTTTCTCACGGAGACATTAATCAGCCGGGCATGGCCACCTTCCCATTAAGTACGCCCCTCAAATCGTATTCCTTAAGTGTTTCATAGCGGTTATAATACTTCGTTGAAATAATCTGACTTAGTTTATTATATGTTAAGCGGTACGAGTAAAAAATAAATAAATTGTACTTTTTGTTTACAGGCAGTAAGTCTGGTGAATACGAGGAGGTGCGAGAGCGGCCTTTCACCAAATTATTGAGCAACGGTTCGCTGCTACTGCAACACGTTAAAGAGGATCGTGAAGGCTTCTACCTTTGTCAAGCGAACAATGGCATTGGAACTGGCATCGGAAAAGTTATACAGCTAAAAGTAAATTGTAAGTGCAAAGTTGCGTAAGCTCAGAATAGAGCTTTATTATGCCTATCCATTTCGTAAGCTATCAATGTAGGTAAATTTTCGCAAATTCACAAAGCACCTATAGGCATTAATTAAATGCGCCATAGCGATATTATATATATATAGATTCTCTTGTGTGTTTGTGTATACATGCTTATTTGAAGCATTATATTTCATCTCAATACCAACAACTCTGCTGTGTTAAACTTTTAGCATTTTCCAACAACACTCTTTACGTATTCGACATTATTTATACTTTCATGTGTTTCTCCTTTGCATTTTTAATGATACAGCTTCGCCGTACTTTTCATCCACTTCACGCTCGGTAACGGTGAAAAAAGGTGACACAGCGCTTTTGCAATGCTCTGTCAGCGGTGACAAACCGATTAATATCGTTTGGATGCGTTCGGGCAAAAATACGTTGAATCCATCAACAAATTACAAGTAGGTCAAGAGGGACACACGCTGTCACTGCTGTTAACTAAGTATTCCAACTACCATCAAATCATCGTCGCCTTAAACCTACATACATACATATCTCCTCTCAACCCCCCACTCCTCCATCTTCGTCTTCCTCATAGCGTTCATTAATCTTACCCCATCATCCTGTCAACATTAATTTTATCAGCACTTATTTAGTATCCCGCATATTTCCCACAGGAGCATTAATGCCACCTACATAGAAGTGATGAGTCGATTTTTTTTCGCTACATTTCCCATTTGTGTCGTTGCAGAATTTCGGTGAAGCAAGAGGCCACACCTGATGGTGTTTCTGCCGAATTGCAAATACGCATGGTGGATGCCAGCGATAGTGGCCCGTACTTTTGTCGTGCGAGCAATCTCTATGGCAATGATCAGCAATTGGTGCAGCTGCAGGTGCAGGAGCCACCACAACCGCCCACCGTTTTGGAGGCGGCTATGATTTCTAGTCGTTCGGTGAATTTGAAATGGCAACCGAAAACAATGAACACAGCGGATATCTCAAAATACATTGTGGAATTTAAGGAAATCGACCGTAAGTAGCTGAAAAGAAATATTATTAAAATAGATAAGTACTTAGTAAAAATAAAAGAAAAGAGAAAGGGGGAAGAAAACAAAATGTAAAGTAAGATGTAGATAAGCGCTGCACATTAACACATAATTAGGAATATATAGACTTGATAAGAGATAAAATTGACAGATTCTGATATTAAAATCGAATAAACTTTTGATGCCAAATTCATTTTGGATGAAAGGGGTAAAATAACAGCCTGGTATTAACTATAATTAAAACGTGCTTTAACAGCGGAAAACTTCAAGTAGGTAAGCGCTTTTAGATTTTCCAAGCAATTAATATAATTTTGCTACAAAACTGCGCACACACCGAGAAAAAAAATTTTGTTATTAAATATTACCAAAATTTGATTATGCATATACTCAAAAAAGCGATTTCCTAAAAGTTAGTCCCCTTTCAGACACGTAAAGTCTTGCTTTCATGTCTGCTCGTTCGTTGGTGAAGGAGGTGGGAAGAGAGAGGAAGAGTACAGATACCTCCGTACCATTAATTCGTTTCAAGTTTTCTTGTTCGCTTTTGATCTTTTCCTTGCTTCCCGTTTAAAGAACCAAGTAGTTGAATTCAATAAAACTTGATACGTGTGGAAGCAAAGAGAAAACACAAAAGAGAATGCGATAAAAATTGCTTTCAAGACTTGACGTGCCTGAAAGGGGACTTAGGATGGTACATACAAGTTTACGTAAAAATAGGGAACAATACTGCACTAAAGCCAAATTGTCTTAAGCCAAATAATTTGATGTACTAAGTTTAGTAGCTTATATTATATCTTTATTTATTATACCCGAGCGCACTTGTGCATTATATATAAGTAGTATTATAACTTTGTTCACATAACGGTTGTTTGTACCAGGCAAAATGAATCGAGATAGATATAGAAAAATGTATANGAATCGAGATAGATATAGACAAATGTATACATAAATGATCAGAATGAAAAGAGAAATCGATTAAGCGGTGACTGTCTGTCCATCCGTCCGTCTGTGCACACGATAACTCGAGTAAAAATTAAAATATCTTGACGAAACTTGGTACGTGTACTTATTTCGGGCGTAGGACGGATGGTATTGAAAATGGGTAAAATCGGACAATAACCACGCCTACCTCCCATATAACGGTAATTTTCAGAAAAACGAAAACTGCGAATTTTTAGTAACTACTGAAAATTATTCACTCAAAATTGATATTTACAATAATTTTTAGACGAAAAATAAGAATATTATAAATTTTTTTTAAATGGGCGTAGCCACGCCCACTTATGGTTACATGTGTATGTCTTGGCAACCGTTGCACCGCAGTTGGACTTGGTACAGCATACCAAATGGCCCAAAATTTTTAAAATCGGACAATAACCACGCCCACATTCCATATAAGAGTAATTTAGAGAAATACGAAATATTCGATAAATCAGTAAATATTAAAGCTAATTTATTCAAAATTGACGCTTGCAACAATTATTTACCAATTACAATTATTTACCACTTATGATCACATAGTATATGTATCTCGGTAACAGTTCTACCAATTTGTTATTTTAGTAAACTAAATATTATTTTTGCTATTATTTATATTAGCTCAATTTAATAAATAAACAATTAAAAACAATACTATTTGTTATATCTTATTTATTTATACATCTTTCCGATTATTTTGTATGTGATTACCCGGGTACCCCGGTTGGACTATTCGAGTGCAGTTTTTTAAATTCAAAATTTTCTGGACTGAAAAGAAATATAAAATATTTTAAATGCATTTCTTCAGCTAAAATCAGTCAAATCGTGGGGATCCGGGAGGGTTTGGAAAAATTGTTCCAAGAAAAAAAGTTATCTGATACAATATGTGTCGATGGGTACCCGGGTCCCCGGTTGGGCACACAAGGGTTTACTTAAATTTACGATTTTTTTATTTAACTAACTATTTATGTGTAATAATTATAGCTACTTCTCTCTTGACTTTATAACTGTACTATTCATTTATATTCTCTTCTATACCTTTTAAATTAAATAGGTAGGCATATATGGAAAAGTATATATTTATATACATATAATATTATCCGCTGGGTAGCGCTGGAGTGCAGTTATACATATAAAATAATATTTATTGCATGAAGCCGGTTAGTTGCTTAAGAAACTTTCTTCAGAAGCAATGAACAAGTATTTTTTAGCAAAAAAAAACCGACTTCAACTCCCATATAAAAAAAAAAATATATATATATATATATATCTCATGATTCACTGAAAAAAAAAATATATATATTCCAACGAACTGATAACCTCCTCCTTTTTTGGAAGTCGGTTAAAAATGAATAGAATCCAAAACGATGAGTGGGCTAGGTACGTATCAAAGAGAGGCTTCACTGGTTCGAAATCCAGATATATATAAAAAAAAAGAAATTCAGAAAAACGCCCTACATTAGCTAACTAAATTGTCGTCAAATATGTCTATATGTGCAGTTGCAGCGTGCAGAGTCTGGGGATTATTAGCCTAGTTTCAATACTAATAAACATTTATATTCTTTAAAAATGTAAAAACCCAATTTGAATTATTCTAACGCGTATCGCTAACTCTCCTCCTTCCTACCTACTTCACATCATACAGCACTCTTCATCGAGCAGTGGCAACAAGTAGAGGTCAAAGATCCACCAACGTACACAACGTTAATTGAAAATCTTAAGCCAGCAACACGTTATTCCTTTCGCGTAATAGCCGAAGGCACTGCCGGCCGCAGCGCACCGAGTCAAGAGTTAGTGGTGCGCACCGAACCACAACGTCCCGCCGGACCGCCGCTCAATCTCTCAGTACGTCCATTGTCTTCCACCGAGTTACTAGTCAGCTGGTTGGCACCGCTCGTAGAATTGCGTCACGGCGACATACAAGGCTACAATGTTGGCTACAAATTGGCCAGCTCGGGTAACTCGGCATACAATTTTACCTCAGTGTCCGGTGATGGGGATGGTGGCACCGGCGAACTCTTGCTAAGCGGCTTACAGAAATTCGCGCGATACAATGTTGTTGCGCAGGCCTTCAATCAGGTGGGACCCGGTCCACTCTCTGAGCCGGTTTCGGCGCAAACAATGGAAGACGGTGAGTTGGCTACTTTGGTGAAATATTATTTGTTATTGTAGTTAATAGTCCGTTTATTGCCTTTTATTAAATAAATTTATATTCAACTATATTTCGTGACAGTGCCAAGTCGACCGCCGGAGGATATACGTTGTGCCGCATTGACCTCACAATCGCTGCAAGTTTCGTGGCAGCCGCCGCCAATCTACCATACCAATGGTCTCTTGCAGGGTTACAAATTAATTTTCGAGCCTATTCTGGACGACTTTTCCCTCAACAAAGACGAAGTTGAATCACGCAAGACAACTGCCCTAACCACAGTGCTGACGGGATTACGCAAGTACACCAACTACAGCATACAAGTGCTGGCACACACACGCATGGGTGATGGCGCGCTATCCAACCCACTCTACTGCCACACCGAGGAGGATGCGCCCGAAGCGCCGGCTGACATCAAAGTGGTCGTTAGCTCACCGCAATCTTTGTCTGTCTCATGGTTGCCACCTACGGAACCGAATGGGGTCATCACAAAATATAATCTATATACGCGCGTCGTAAACGGGCGAGAAGAACTGAATAATGAAAAACGTAGTTTGCCGTCACAGCAGGCGCATTACGAGGCGAAAAATCTGCATCCTCACATGGAGTACCAGTACTGGGTGACCGCCTCCACGCGTGTTGGTGAAGGCAAAAGCTCGCGTGTCGCCTCACAGATTACAACCAATCGTGTGCCCGCACGCATTGTCTCCTTTGGTGGTCCGATAGTGCGGCCATGGCGTTCAACTGTTACGTTGCCGTGCACGGCAGTTGGCAAACCGAAACGTGAATGGTACAAGGCGGATTCACTGCTGCGACAAGGCGGCCTACACAATTCTCAGCTACTTGATTCAGGCGACTTGATTATCTCGAGTTTACAGATTTCGGATAGTGGCAACTACAGTTGTCAGGTGGACAACGGCATTGGCACGGATCGGCTGACGCACGTACTATTGGTGCAAGTGCCACCTTCGGCGCCGGTGCTGTATGTGACTAGCGCTACTTCGAGCAGTATTCTGATGCACTGGAAATGCGGATTCACTGGTAATGCACCAATCACTGGCTATACGCTCTTCTATCGACGCGCTAACAGTAATATGGATGAGATGCTTTTGTCACGTCATGCATCTAGTCACGAACTGAAGGGGCTGGTGTGTGGTAGCACTTATCAAATTCATTTGACGGCTCACAATAAGGTGGGCACCTCACCTGCCAGCATCACTTTGCATGTGCGCACGCAAGGGCAATCACCCGGAATGCCGTCAACCACCAGCCTGATTGCACCCAACTCTACTACAGTATTGGTGCGTTTGCACACATGGCCAGACAATGGTTGTCCGATGCTTTACTTCGTGCTGCAATACCGGCCGGTGACCGATGAGCCTGAGCGCGATTGGATATTGGGTAAGTAGAAGATTGTATGCAGCCGAAAAAGAAGTTTTCTTTTTCAATTCAGTATGCGAGCACAAAAGGTCAATGCAAATTTATTAAAAGAAATATCCTTTAAGGCTAGTGCGGTGACATATGAAATTATGTGTTATTAATTGCATTTAGATATTATTAAATTTCAGCTATTCATCTCATAAACATAAATTTAATGCAGTGACAAATACATACAGTTGTTGTGATATATACATATACATACATATTTACACATTTATTAGGATAAACCTTAAAAATATCAGCATCAAAATTATATATGTGGCACCCCTTTAGATTATTGTCGGCTATCGACCATTTGATTAGCTCGGGACCATCGATGGGATGATGCCACTTGCTTCTCTTTTTTGCCAAATTACGCCAGCACTTGCCTCGCCCAAGTCTCTACTACGCTCAAGGCGCTATGTGCTAAAGCGCATTACTGTCAGTCTACTGTCCGCTTCGATAGCTCGGATGCTGTGTGCCTCTCTGTTGCCATACCCACCCCATGCTGGTCAAAGGGAGCTTCGTGCCTATACATTGATCAGCGTTTTTTTTTTCATCAAACGCGCCACCGGTTCCAACATTAAAACGTGTTTAGAAGTCTACTCTGATCGCGACTACCATCTTTGACTATGCAGGAACCACCTCAGATCTTGAAATCATTTGATTTCTGACGCCCTTTTTAAAAGTTTTTTTTCTTCTTACCTTATTTTCACTCGTTATCGCGCGATTGTCGGGCGAGTCGTTATTGGCTGTCTTGCTGGCATAATATGCTGCGTATCTCTTTATAGCAGCGCCCCAGTACTCTTTCATTTCATTTATTTTAGTCTATGACTTTAACAATCTTACAGACTAGATTACATAATAGGTTAGAATAATAGAAATTATATTAATTATACAATGTACAAATGTATACAACGAAGTAAATAAGAGTCAGAAACCCACTAAGAAGAACTTAGAATCGAGATTGTAATACCTAGACAGTCTGTTAGATATACATAGATAGATCATTTGATGATCTATTGTGCCCTCCTCTCTTCACAATACCTCCTCCAAGCCTAGGTCCGTCAGAAAGTTCCATAGCGTTTTCGGGGATAGAGCGTGAATGTGCTTAAGCATCACACTCAATAAGGATGTAGAGTGGTGTTTCGCTGGAAGAGGCCAAAATCGGCAAAGTTCATTTACCTTATCCCCAGCTTATAAAGATGCCAATTTAGTCTGCAGTGTCCTGTTGGGAAACCTGTTAATATTCTCCACTTCCGCTTTGGAAGGTTAATTAAACTTTGGCATCTTCTTTAGTTACACCCTCCCAGTAGACGCTTTGTCTGACGCATTCCTATCAAACTATGCCCCTCCTGAGCTCCTCCTTTATAGTATTGGGACCCACTTCCAGTAAGGGCTCGGGGCCAACTGGAGTGATGGCTGCCGCCTCTCTTGCGAGACAGTTTTCCGCATCGTTCCCTTACTGCCAGGCACCCACGCCAGTCTGATGTTATTCTGCCTCTCTATGCACTCAAGGACCAGGTATGATTTGATTTCAAAAGATAAAAGAGCCTTGAGTGCCAACTGCTGTAACTTAGAATTATAATTCTCTTATTTCGGTATCCTCTATTAATGATGGTCTCCACACACAAATATATGGCGTAAACTTCTGCCTGAAATATGCTCAGATATTTCCCCATAGGGATGGAGATCCTGGTCCTGGGTCAAAAATTTCAGCACCGATTTATTCTAGGGTCTTCGAGCCGTCTGTGTACCAATGCAGTGTAGACGGTCTATTACGCCCACATCTTTTCGACGTCAAACTTTCGCCGCGCAGCTTGGGGCACGTTCTTCTTTGCACAGAGGCTCGAGCGGACCTTGGCTGCGGCAAATGAGTGAGCCAATTCGATATTTGCTCCTCAGGTGTAACGCAGGTGAAGAACGCTTGAATAATATCTTCGATCATTTGTTCAGGGCGCCTCCAATAGCTTTGTGGATATTTTGAGACTGGTGTCTAGTTCCACAAACATTACGTTATGTGTCGCGGCTAAGTCAATCAGCCTCTCTGTTGATTTAAAGGCAAAATTTTCTGACTGTTGTACCCAATATGCCTTATATACTCACCTTTGCATTAAAGTCGCCAAACACGATTTTATAATCGCGGCAATTCGTTGACTTATGAGGATGAAGTTGGAGACAAGCAGTCGGACCCTTCGCTCAATGAAAAATTCCTATATGTTCAAAAGTTAAATTTCCCCCCATTTAAGGATCGATAAGTAAAATCAGAGTATTTCCACATCAATTAGAACACACATAATGCAATTTAGTGCCAACTTACTGAAATTGAGTTGCTTAATATATTACCATTGCCTTTGTTTTTGCTATCTTTATTCCATTTCACAGTATCGAACGCTTTAAAACCGCAACGTCGTTTCACCATTTCCGGACTACAGCCATCGACTCTCTATCAGCTGCGCATGGAGGCACATAATGTGGCCGGTGTTTCGCAGGCCGAATTCACATTTGTCACTCTCACCAAGGATGGAGAGCAGCCACCGCCGGAGATAGTGCAGCGCGGTCAACGTGGCACCAACGTTTTCTATGGAAATGTGAATCTATTGATACCGAGCATTGCCACATTGTCGGGCATGATTTGCACAATAGCGCTGGTGGTCATGTGCTATCGACATAGTGAGTACCAAATACACAGACAATTGTACATGTAAACTGCCAGTGGGGTTGGGACGGACAAGACGGAAACGACCGGCCGGTGTCATGTGAATGTAAATGGCTGAGTGGGTCATCATTCTTTGGCACTAACAAAACAAAACAAAAGCAAAACCAACGCAAAACAAACACAATACTACCAGCATTCACAAACAAACAAACAAACAAACCAACAAGCGTACAAACAAAACGGAAAACGTGTGAATGAACTACCGAACTCTGTACGGTTGTTTGTTTGCTGAAGAGTAGGTGGTGGGCGCTGAACAAAAATGGGAGCCCGACGACAATCGTTTGAACAGACAAAACGACTAACTAACTGAATAACCAAACAAATCAATGAACGTAAACGCAAACGTAAATGCCTACAAACATGCCAACACATAAGTGTACATACAAAACTGCTGCAGTTGTACTGCAGGATGAACAGGATGAAGGATACGCATATGCACGTTGGCGGTGGTGCACAGTCGCATGCATGTACGTATTTATGTGGGCCTCAATGTCTCACAGCATACGTTGAACGTGTATACGTCGAGAAAATAAATTTTACGTTGTTACAACAAATTGAATTTTAATTGGCATGACGCCGACCAAATGCTGTGCAGTAAATAACGCAAAGCTTTTACTTTTTGTTGGTGTTAGTCGTGTTATTGCTGCTATTATATTTGATTTTGTTATGTTTTGAATTCCACATGGCGCATTGAATTTACTTCTCTTCCGCCTACATATGTACATACATACATATGCATTCTCTCTCTAACAACAAAATCTATACTCGAACTGCTGCTAAAATTTTCTTTTGATTGTTTTTCGTATAGAACAAGGAAATCGTATACAAAAGGAATCGCTGGAGAATCGTCAGAACTCGGAGGCAGCGCAGCGGGAACGTTATTATGCCACCATTCACAAAGTGTCGATGCAGAATAACGACAAAATTCCTGGTAAGTTATTACTATTGGTTATGTGTTGTTCTTCTTGTTGTTGTTGTGTTCAGTGCGACTTCAGAATGGTCGAAAAGAATGGAAATGGAAATAGCTTGCGGAAAGTGAGTTTTCATATGTACATACTAGGGCATTCAATCCCGGGATCCCGGACACTTTTCCATGTCCCGAAATTCCGGGATTAAAGCTCCAGGATCCCGATATTTTTACTGATTCATTTACAGAAGGTCCATTCTTTTGCAACCGAGCGACAAAAGAACACTCGCTTAATTGACGAAATACACGCAAAGCAACAACACAAACTCGGCTATTTATCCGAGTTCAGCCAGGTCGGTTAAAACAAACGCGACCTGAAGAGTAGTGTTGTTAAGTGAAAAAACTGCTCTATTGTGAATTGTTAATGGGAAAGTGGAGAGGGAAATTTTTGTTTTCGTATATGCATGATTTGTATTTTAAATAAATATATATTACGCAAATACCTCGCATAATTACAAATTTCTATTGTTTCTTATGTATAAACCGCGTTGAACTAATCACATGTTTCTTTCCAGCTACCAACAGGGTTGCTTAAGTAACTAAAAAGAAATTTTACCCGAGTTGAGCGTTCTTTTTTCGCTCGCTTACAAAAAAATTCAGGAAAATTTGGATTCAAAGTGAACTTGAGCCATTTGCACTTGGAATTGAATTTCAGGACCTGCCTGAGTAACTGTTCTTATTCAAATATTTTGTGCAAGAACTGTGTAATAACGCAAACTATTTTAGAGTGTGGCAGAGTTGTTCTTCATTTTTAGTTTCTATCACACAATTCTTGTAGGGTACATATTATTACACCCGCAAACATAGTTGACCGCGAAAAGAAGTTTACCTGTCCTTCTTGGCCGTCAAATAGTTTAACGCGTCTTTCTTCGCCGTCAACTATGTTAAGAGTTGATGTTTTTTTTTCGCGGTCAACTTTTGAGCTTGCGCCTTTGTTCGTGTCTCGTGACAATTTCAATATTCGCGTCGAAAAGTAGCACATTTCTGATTTTTTCGTGGAAAAGTAGCATATTTCACTATTTGCGTGGAAGAGTAACACATTTCAAGTTTTCGCGTGGAAGACTAGCACATTTCAGAAAAGTATAATTTATATTGAAAATTCAAGTGCTTTTATTATATTCTATTATATTATACATTTTATGAAATTTAGACGGTATATTCAAATTTCAAAAATTTTAGTTTTCTACAAAGTTTTACACTTGGGTTTATATGGATTTTTTCAGAGAATGAACTTTATTTTAATGAAAATTCTTAAAAATAAATAAATAAACATAAGTGGAAAACAATATCACTTTGAAATGAGGTGCTCTTGATATGACTGCATGTACATATGTGTATGTTTCTCGTGTTTATAAATAGATTCCTTGAGGAAGACGCGAATATGGGTCGAAACAAGTAGGAGGAAAATAAACGTTTACGTCCATACACAACATTAAATTTCAGCTTAGTCGAGGAGAAATAATAATAACATAGTACTTGCATGCGTGGTTTTTGTACGGCTGCTAGTACCACTTTATATGAATTCGCTACTCTTCCACGTGAGAATCTGAAATGGGCTACTTTTCGACGCGAATAATGTAATGTGCCAGTCTTCGGACCGAATAGTGAAACGTGCTAGTCTTCCACGGTAATTTGAAATGTGCTACTCTTCGTTGGGAACGAAGTCCCGGGATTGTTAAAATGCTTCGGGATTATATGCCCTAGTACATTCCATTGAAGGTGCAATTTATTTGGTAGTAATCTCTTTCTTTTCTGAGCGAAAGACGCTCTTATGCGATGGAAAATACTTTGCTTGGTTATGAAGTCACAGTTGGACTTCCGTCAGCGTTTAATTTACCACCGAGCACTCTATTTTACAAACAAATTTATATGCAAACGCTAAATATATACATACATATGTGGTATCTAAAAGGCGTAAAAATCATTAACTAATGGTGATTCATTTTATTTTCGGGCGGAAGTTCAGTGCGCTATTGTGGGTGGCACTATAATTCAATGGGGGTATTGAGCAAGTGACCTGGTACTCGAACAAAAGAGGTGATGAGCTCAAACCAACGAATGTTGTCAAAGGTGTTGCTTGAGATAATCAGCTCTTCTTCCCAAGAGCCTGGTCAGGTGCTCAATTTAGTGAATACCCTTCATACAACAATTCTGCTGGAATCCGAGGCAGTTTGACCTAAGTGATAATATGTTTAGCCTTCGATAGACACATCACTTCCGTTTGACGTTGTACTGAAATATTGGTGTCCTTCAAAAGCGTGTTAAGAAACTTTTAATTCCACAAATATTTAATGAGTTAAAGGAATTATTACAATATGAGTTTCATTCGAAATTAGTTTTAAAAGGCTTTACTTCCGAATTATATTTATATGTGTTGCCACATGTTTAAAAGGTCAAATTCAACTTGAGTTGTGGCAATTTGATAATTGAAATATGAATTGGAATATGGATCTCAGACGAAAGAGATTTAAGAAGGTTTTAGTTTGAAAAAAAGGGTTGCCACCTGCGTGAAAAGTTGAAATTATCACAAGTTAAATACAATATTAAAAGATAAGAGTCAAGGGAAAAAGTGTGAAGATGTCTAAGACTGCCGGCGAGCAGGCAAGAGAAGTCTCATCATTTGTCTATTTCAAAATCAATTCGCTCACAGGGTAGATAACCGTTCATAACCAGCTGGGCGCTGCTATGTACCATTATCGGTTTAATTTAAGATTAATTTATAATTAAATAGATATTAACGAGGGAGGTATATTTTAACTTTCAAATTACAAGATAATCTACGGGTATGTAAACCTAGTATAATATGGACAAACAAGGTCAAACATTCATTTTTTCGGGTATCCAGGCAGCGATTGAGCTTTAGGCTCCGTAAATATCATTTCTAGCCCAATAAAACAATGTAGAGAAAAAGTTATGGGTTTAGCTGGTAGGTATATCGTTGCACTGCTATGTGTGCAGGGGCATTCATGACAACCTTGATTTTTAGGGTTAGCGTCTTATTATAAGGATGCAAAAGATTCTCCAGGTTGCGGTGTGCCCTATGAATTAACTAGCTACATATAAGCCAACCAATATAAAATTATAAATTATTAAACCAAATGGGAGCATGAATACGAATTTTCTAAATCACTTGCGAAAATATTTCTTATGAACCAATTAACCCACGTTCAAAATTTAAACCAAATAAAAGAAACTTTTTAATAGGGGTTACCACCCGTTTAAATAGTTATATTAAAATTTACTAACAGGTTAAACGAAATTCTACCATTTGATTTGAAGCAACCGAAATTTAAAGAATCTTTTGAAAATGTCTGTAATAGGGTTGGCACCTATTTGAAAGTGGAATTAAAATTAAAATTAATAAAAAGAAATATTAAAATATGGGTATCAACCTAAAGGCCGGGCCACATAGCACTTTCGCGTTGGCTTTGGCGTTGGCGTTGGTTTCAGAACGCACGTTAAAAGTATGCTTGCTACAATGAACGCTTGGCAGCGAATGCTTGGGCCACTAAATTAACATACCAACGGCAGACAAATTAATATTTCATATCAATAATTGCATTAAAAACGATATTTCTTGCCCGCACTTGAATAAAATGGAAAAATATTTCACATAGTTTTATTTATTTGCAACAGCTGACGAGCGACGCACGCGAAAAGTTGAGATTTGGCCATCTTTTTGCTTTGTGTTGGCGTGAGCATTGTCGAATTTTGGCTAAGTGGACGGCTGCATTTGAATTCATGTATTCATAGTCAGCTGTTGAAGCGACGCCAACGCCAACGCAACGCCAAAGTTCTATGTGGACGGGCCTTAAGAAGATATATTTCGAAGATATTTTCGAAACTGTTCGCCACTCGTTAAAAGCCAAATTCAATTTAACCAATAACTGAAATGAGTTATTGCAATACGGATGTGAAACGAAAGAAATTTTCGAAAGTATTTTTTAAAAGGGTTGCCACCTATTTAATTTAAATCTTACCAATAAGTTAAAGGAGATAATATCTACAATGTGGAAAAAGGCTTAAGAAAACTTTGTTTTTAAGATAGTTTTGAAACGGGTGTCACCTTTACAAGAAAGACTTGCATCCAAGCGATTATTTTCAATCGAAATATCTTTCGTATTCTCATCAAGTTATTTTGAAAGCATTGTATAAAGCATGGAGGAATTATACCAGGTGAAGTAATTAGTGCGAAGAGAAAGATTCTAACACTGCCTTATTTGAAAATTTGCCTATAAAGTTTGACTATAGGGCAGCCGAATGTCAGAAAATAAAGCGAGAAAGCTGTTTTATTATTTCGCCTGTTTATTGCGCCATGTGTATAAGATACTTTACACGTTTCCCAAATTTAAATTAATTTATGCTATTTCGAATGCAACTAGCCAATACACGCTTGCTTTGCTATCTTCGAAATCAAGCTTCCTTAAGCCTCTTTCTTTTTTATCAAACTTTATAATTAAACAGATTTTGAACTTTTTCATAGGTAGTAACGCTCTTCAAAAATATTTTAGAGATAAAGCTTCTCTGAATCTCTCTCATTTATATATATATATTTTCAAAATAAAGCTTTTTTTAAACCTTTCCCGTTTGACATCCCAATTACAATATTTCATTTAACTTGTAATTTAAATTGATTTTAACTTTTTGAGCAACGTGCTTTTGTTCGACGCCGTAATTATTGAAATATTTTACTTAGCCTATTAATTAATTGCATTTAACTTTTAAAAAAGGTGGCAAATCTATTTAAAAGATATCCCTTAGCTAACTCAGGTCACACATTGTCTACGTGCTAACCTTCATTCCAATCCATTCAGCTGTTTTTGTCTGACTGAGTAACAAGCATCCTGATATCCAAACATTCGAACTTTCACATTTATTATATTAGTAAAATTACCTCCCTCTGAGAGGTACATGTCCCCGTATTATGTAGGTATGTATAGTAGATGTATATTGTCGCTTAAACAATATCTGAACAAAGCTACCCATTTACGTACATGCAAGTATGTATGTATGTGCTCATGTTTAGCGTTCACCTTAGTTTAATATAAATATATTTTTATTCGTGTATACTTGTTCATGCCCTTGTCAAAGTGCAGTGACATTACTCACCGCTAATGCCAATTAAATAAATCACAGCGCCTTACTACCAACAATCACAACAACACCCTCCCAACGTTTCAACAGTAAAGAAAGCAACGCAATGTCAAAGCCATTTCCATTTCCATTTCCATTTCCATTCCAATTATTTACTAATTAATGTCGTTTGCTGTTTGTTATAGGTGCCTCTTTATATATTTACAGCTACATGTGTGCCTATGTGGATGTATGTCATTGACTTTTTTTCTGCTTCCTCTCTTTTTTTCTGCCTTCTACAAACAGAGACATCCGAGGATATTTCACCGTATGCCACATTTCAATTATCCGAGACGGGAAACATGTCACAGCCACATCATGCCGGCCCAGCTAATACGCTTTTGCATTCCTTTATGTATCACGAGCGTGCCTTGACCGAGGGTTGCTCGTCACCACCACCCGCAGCGGTATTAAAACCAACCCAACACCAAAATCACCACCATCACCTGAATTATCATTACAACCACAATCAACGTCCAACTAAGACAAACTATAATCATTATCAGACCTCGCCATTTCATAATATCGTGCGTTTAATTTCTTATCTGTTTTTATTTAGATTTTGTTTGTAATTTGTGTTGTTGTTGTTTGAAATCATGTATGCTTTTAAATATCTAGAGTGCTAGAAAAGAATTGACTTAGTCCGTTTTTTTTTAATTTTCGTAAGGCGCATAATTGTAGTCGAAAGAAAGTTGATTTATTGGTAGACAAAGAAGCGTTTTTGTGGTTTTATGTAATGAATCAAGGAAGTCTAGTGCGCACTAGCGCAAGTTACGTCTTCCGCTAAATACTTTGATGACATTCTGGTATACTGCAACTATGGCTTATTCCTTACTGAAGTTAATAAAGGTTGGTTTAGCGCAGTGATGCGCAGAGAGAGCTTTTACTCTGAACTAGGGTTGCCAATTATACTATTTTTTCGGACTGCGTACTATATACTGATGGAAAAAAATATAATATACAGAAATGCTATATTTCTTTATTTATAAATATTTCTTTATTTATATAATTTGCAAAAAATAATGTATATTAAAATGGATGAGCTTTATCCTGAATGAAAAATATTGAAAAAAAAATTCTTTCATATAAAAGGTTATACTTAGATTATTAATAGAACCACAGATCAAAAATTTCAACATTAAAAAAAGAATGAACTACCAAATTAACTTAAAATTATTTCGTTCCTGCTCTCTATTCCTGCAACTTCGGCATTCACAGAAAGAGTTTTTTCTATTATGAATGTCAAATGGCGAGATGAGAGAAACCAAGTGACTATCTCTCTAATAAAAATGAACTTTTGATATATATTAATTTAATTATTGATTGCTAAGAAAGAAAAAAGATGTAGCCTTAAAAACCCTTTTTATTTTTTTTTTTTAATATAATACTATATTTATTTGAAGTGTACTATATTTTTTCAGATTTTTTTCAAAATGTACTATAAATTCCTTAGAAAATGTTGGCAACCCTACTCTGAACATACCTATATGAAATCTAAAAAAGCTCTCCTCTGACATCCTCTGTACAAAAACATTTACGAACAAAAGCAAAGACCTGAGATAGCTCTTAACCAATGTGAGTCTCTATCGACGATAACCAAAGAGAACTTTTACTCTCTGTGCGTCCATAAAAAATCTATAACAACATTTAAAAACCTTCTCTGGCGGGATATGTTTGGAGAGTGAATGGTATTTAAAAAGGATTAAACGCAGGCGCATAAATTTTATATTGCCGCGAAAAGAGATAGGCTGTGTATCTCTGTCTGCGCTGATATAATGCTCTTTTAAGGTTTCTATAGATTTTGTTCAGGCGCGTGCAGAATCAATAAATGACACAAGCGCAAAGATTTTGTTTTAATATCTAGACACACCGAGTAACGTACAGCAGGGTATCCAAAATTTTTATTTGTCGTAGAATTATAAAAATCCATAACGACTTGAAGTTTAACTTTTGCATAAGAAGCTGTACAGGGAATAACTCCGTGCATCAATACATTGCATAAATGAAACATTTAACATACATAGTGCGATAAAAGAGCTCAGTTGTATAACACCCCGCCAAGAATCAGCTAATCAGCTGGGACACTTTGTAAAGTACTTTCGGATACGGAGGGCTGCGGATACCAGACGACCACCGGATCTCTGCCTGCGCGAAGGACCTTCTTTCTCCGCCACTCGAGATCAATTATGGATATAAAGCTAAAAACGTTCCTCTAAAAAAATACAGTCATAGAAATTGTATTAGTAAAAGAGTACGGGCTCTCTCGGTTCAAAAATGTTTTAAGTAAAAATAAGTTAAGTAAAAATAAAAGTTTGTGCAGTCAGTGAATCCAGGAACGATATGAACTTTAACATATCCAACAATGTTCTGAAACCTTATTGTGATATATGATGTAAGGCGACAAATAATGGGATTTTAATGTAAATAGGTTTATTCGTGAATTCAGTTAACTCCGGTTATGCGCCACTAACTTGTAGACGCGGTAGAGAACAGTTTTCTTGACTAAACGACTCTTAATAACCTCAAAGCGGTTCTTAAAGTTCTGTTTGCTAAAGTTGTTAAAAGTAGCTTTTTCAGTAGCTGTTTACTTTCAGGGCCATCATAGCTTAATTAGTTTTAGCGCCGTTTTCTCGAATAGCTTTTAAAATTTAACTGTGTACCTTTAAACAAAAATTTTCTTCTAAAAATGTGTGTTTGTGTTTCAGATATATTCTAAAAGCTACTTTAGAAAACGGACTTTAAATTTTCACATTTTTCTATTTTTCCTTAGTACCTTTTTTTTAAAAAGTAAGTTTATGTAAACAAAGAAATCGAATACTGAAATCATATAGTGTTGATATCACTTACATACTACGAAGCTCCTCCACTCACTGCCTATACTTTAGTATCATTTAGTAAAAAAAAGTGATAATTTTCCTCAACTTACTGCTTTCAACTATTAAGTATATTTGGCAAATTTTTATTATAATTTTTTTGTTTTTTTTTGTTTTTATTTATTTTTTTCTTTGTAAGTTGCTAATCCTCCATCCCCGCTCGCTTCGCTTTCATACCATACGTGCCTGCTGGTTAAATTTTAATTGACTTTTACATTTTCTCGCTTTGTTTTCCATTTCACATGAATTCGCACGTGCTTGTTTGCTACTTGATGTTGTTTGCTATCCAATTAGTCTTCGAAGAATCGTCGCCGCCATTCGCGGAAAACTGAGCCAGAGAGTGAGGAGTCCGAATCGGATCAGGATCAATTGACGTCAAGTCGTACGGAGTCATCCAATCAGCATGAGGGAAAAATAAAGCATAGTAAGTTTTGTTGTTATGTTTTTTTTTTGCATTTTATCTTAACAACTTTTTAATCCCGCTGGCACAAAAAATTTGTTGGCATGAGATTTTACACTACATCCACACATTGTTGATTTATATGTATACTATACACACTTTGTTTTTATAGATAAATAAATACATAAGTATGTACAGATGTAAGTATTTAATGAAATGTGATGAACTTGTTTAATGAAAATCTAAGCTGTAAAATACATAGTTCGAAACCAACAGTATTCTCATTACTACATACACAGATACCCGGGTCTTTCAAAAACTCAGCTGGGCAACGTTTGCCCGGCAG